TATTTAAAGTGTATAAAAGGTGATCGTGTATCTGCCGTACATATACCTCGAAGTATGCGACGCAAATAAATTCCGCCGATCTCTCTTTTCTCTCTCTCTCTGCTGTGTCTCTCTGCTTCGTATTATACGGCTCGCGAGCCTCGGCTCGGCTGCACGCTCGACTTCGTATAATAGCTAGTAGTCTATATTCCGGTGTCAATGTCCGACACGAGACGACGACGACGACGCATGCACCGAGACACACACATACACACACACACCGCGCGTGTGTGTGCGGGCAAAGAGATCTGCATGCGCATAACTCGGGCGCCGCCGCCGACTGCTGCGTGTGCAGCAGCAGCAGCAGCAGCAGCAGTCAGAGAGATCGGTGCGGCTGCCATATAACAGGTGCGCATGAAGACGAGGCTGATCGAGCTTTTGGTTTTTGGGTGCGGGTACATAGTAATGTCTCCACGAGAGGAAATATTTTTTTCCTCCAGCACCCGAGCGGAGTATCTTCTTCTTTTTTTTTTGTCTCTTCTTTTATTCGGGGACACGATAATTTTTTTTTATTTATACACACGAGTTCGTGTACGGCCGCTGCTCTTCGTGCAGATTATTGCTCCTCGTGTAGGTACATGCGTGTGCATTGCACGCGCGGCAATTAACGCGCCTCCATACGAGCGAAGCGTAAATCGAAAGACGTTAATTGACGCGCCATTTAGCTTCGGCAGCACTAGCCGTGGGCGGTACACGGCCTGCACTACATATACTGCTGCTGCAACTGTTAATTTCATTTGACGCGACACTAAGTCGGTTTTAACTAGTTAAAAAAATAAATAAATAAATAACGAAAAAATAAAATATGATAACAATTACGTGTCATTTATTGTATGGACAAGGAATATGGCGCACCGGGGTAAACAATTCAACGAATTATTAAGTTAGCTCGCTTATCATCTTTCTCTCTCTCTCTCGCTCTCTGTGCAAACTTCGCGTGTGATCGATTTCATACGGCACACGGCGCATGACGAGTGTGTACACGCGCGAATTTATAATAAATAGGAAAAAAAAAATGAAGATCTTTTTATATACCGATTCTCTCATAGATTCTTTGCTTTTTTTCCTCCTACGCCAGGTCGAAGTTATGTATGTATTACATGATTTCAGAATTCGGATCGTCGCGCGAGATCGACCGAGATGATTAACGGCTGATAGAATTTGTCTCTACTCCCGCGCGTGTATGTTTTATTAACATTCATCGAGTGCCGCGAAATATGGCTCTCTCTCTCTCTACGATTGTTTCATTAAGCTCCACTCTAAAAATAGAGTATCATGATCGCTCGATATCGCATTACACTTTCCGCGTGCTTATAATATCATGTATTTATGACCAAAGTGGCGAAAAATTTCCCCGATTCAGAGATCAGAGGCGACATTAAATCCGCGACGATCGGCCGCGATGAGAGATTAAACTTCAATATACATCACGCGAACGAGCTGACTTTTTTTCGCACGCGGCGTCACACTGTATATATTATAAATTGCGAGAGATAAGAGAAAAAGAGGAGCTCGGCGGCGGCGGCGGCGGTGACAAAATAAATAACAACGCGAGAGAGAACACAATGAGTAGGGCAAATATTTGTCGATAATCCCGTGATGCGCGCGCGCGCGCCTATATAAAAAAGTGGTGGTTCTCGTACTCCCGATCCCAGTGTAGAAACGAGAGAGGAAAAAAATCGAATTATAACATTATATTACTCTTTTATATAATTGATCAATCATGAGCCTCTCTCTCTCTCTCTCTAACTCTTTATTTGGTCGTTTATAAAAATAACAAAAATATTAACGAGCTCACACACGCGAAAACTGCGCACGGCGCATGATTTTTAACGCAAATAATTGTACAATTGTCGCCCGACGACGACGACGACGACTTAACTGCCTTATAATACACGATGCGTAACAATATAACAACATGATACGTAAAATCGCGCGAATTATACGAGTCGCGACGCTCGCGAGCGGTGCACACACGTGATCAAACAGGCTGGCGGCTGCAAAAGACGCGAAAAACAAAAGGCTCGAATCGTTAAGTATGAGAACTGCGAGCGCCTATAATATATAATACCTACTGAATGCACACGCGCGTACGGGCACATGAATACTATAATGTATCATATCATATCGCGAATAAATGGCGCGCGAAAAACGTGACGACTGACTGACTCTATTAACACTGACTCTGACTATGTTATATAGCTGCCGCGATCAGCAGCGGCACACGGCACACCTGAGTACAGACGACGACGCCGTCTCCGCCGCCGCCACTGTGCGAGAGAGCCGATAAATAAGATGTCGAGTAGTTTTCCACGTTACATACTCGCGGCGCGCGGTTTTTTTCCCCGCCGAAATCTCGTGTACATTTTTTTTTTTATTTTTACGTAAATACTACATACTTGGAGTTATTTCGATTGTTTTCTCTCTTTCTCGCTCTGTCTATAAGCTCGCGTACACGCGCGCGCGCGCCATCGAGTATGACGCGTGCAAGCTCTCGATTTAAGTCATACTCGATTTCATGTGTGTATATAATCGCTGCGTGACTCGCGGCATACATAATATACGTCTGCACGTTTGTATTATATATTAATTGTAGGCCGCGTTGTATTATCGTCGCGGCTCGAGCGACATCTTCTTATAATTATGTTGTAAATATCGTATTTATACAAAATCGACGTAATACATAATTTATGTGCGCACGCGCGGTTATATTATCGATACTCGTTTGTGTGTGTTTGTGTGTGTATTTGACATCGAACGAAAATTTATTATCGCTCGAGCTCTCGGCGCTCACATGTATCCCGAAAATTCAATCGCGTCTGTCTCGCTTTTTTTTCGCTCGCTTATTATTATCGAAGCAAAAGGTTATCTTATCGTGTTTTCTTTCCCCTCGTCTTTCTTCTCCTCCGCGCGTGCAGCACTGCATCTTGCCAATGTATACACATGCGCTCACTCGGTAACTTTTGGAAATATTATTATATACAATTTTCACGTGATTATGAATCGTACGCGTGTGTGTGCGGCGCTGATTACGGCATCTCGCCGATCGATTTTTCATTTATTTTTATTATGTCTTGCCCAAACACGACGTATATTTCGTTAATCGAATAATTACAATACACTCTCGTGAGCTGCAGCTTTCAGTATTATCATTTTTTTTTCTTATACGCGTGTGGTGTGTAATCCCGTCAGGCGTGAGTGCACGAGCACCTAAAAAACGACGATTGCCTATGGCAATGTATAATCTACGAGACATCTTTTTCATCTTGGCAATAATAGCTCGGAGCGGTGTCATTGTCACACCTCTCGCTCATGCTCTAGTCAATATTGCGATATACATTTCTGTTAGTGCCATGCGTTATATATCGAGATGGACCATATAAGAAAAAGTCAAGACATGCACGCAGGTTTTTTATTTACATAATGTATTATATATGCGTGCCCGCGCGCGATGTGCGAAGAAAATGATACGGCGCCACCTACTTCCGTCCTCATTTTTTTTCGTGCGCTGCTGCTGCTGCTGCTGCGAAACTTCACCGCGTATATTATGTATCATTGCTCAATCGACTATATACGCACGTATAGCCACGAGATGAGGAGCTATTTTCAAATGTATTTTTCTTTCTTTCTTTCTCTCTCTCTCGCGTCCAGCATATAAACATGATCGTTTCCACGCATTGGCGCTTAAAAATCTCGTTCATCGTCGTCGTCGGCAGCGAAATTTTAGCGGAGCGAGCATACCTAAATAAGGGTTGGTCTCGTGTTTCTCTCGGGCACCCACACAGACGCATTAAGTATACGCCGCGCTTATTAATGCCTGCGTGCGTATTATATTCACGCGAATTCTCGAAATTTGGAGAAATGTTGCCGCAGCCCGGCGCAGAGAGTATAATCGTGCGTACACATAACGTTCTATATTTACGGTTGTGTGTATACGCACACTCGTAACTTCGCGCGCCTTGACAATGGATTTATTGTTTGCCAAAATTCGGTTTCGCGGCCTTAATTACCGCATATACTCCCCCCCCTCATTGCAGCACCCGCCAAAAATTCACGCGCCGTAATAACTCCCGCGATCCGCGCTCGTCTTCGGTAATAATCAAAGCACACCGCGACGACGATCTCGTGTGCGTAATAATACGCACGATGAAAAAAATTATAAAGCAGTTCGCTCGAGAATTAGCCTATTAGCAATGTAAACCGATCAGATAAATTCAATTGCCACGGGCTGAGCGAATTATTATTTGCGCGATAAAATAGCGATAAAGACTTCACGCGTATTTTTTTTTCTCTTTTTTTATTCTTTTTTATTCGAGCACGATGGATGATGTATTTATAATGTAATTGCGCACATACACACGACTCTTAGGCGAATAAACGAGAAGATGAAGAAAAAAAACAAATTTTTTCCGTCTGAGCGCGGCGCGCTGATGTATTTGCTCTCTCAATTGGACTGTGATTAAATACCGTTTGTTACTCGGTCGAGAAAGGGAAAGCATTTCAGCGATAAGAGAGAGAAGATTCGAATCTGACACTAGTTTTCAAAAAGATATCATAATTGTAGATTCGATTTTGTACGTATAGATTACATTTTGACAGGCGTGCGAATGCAATCACCTGTTCAAAATTTCGACTCATCCTCGCGCGATTCGATCGACGATTCACGTGTGTGCGCGCGACGATCACGATCGAATCTCGAGCGATCGTAAAAAACGATTTCCTTTAGTACAATATTATACTTTGTATCCCACGCCGCGGCTAATCTCTCCGATTAAAACTTTCCATTGCGTCTCTCGGAAATAAGTTTCAAATCGATCGCAGTCGCCGTTTCGTTGTTTTGGTAATTGATGTTTGGTGTGTGACATGCACGGGTCTGGCACGTGCTGTTTTCAACTTACAATACGTATCGAGTTTTTTTTTTATGTTATACATAGTTTTTAAGGAAGAGATCTGAAACTTACCCGTCGAATCTCGCGTGCAGGGGCGCGACGTCTTCCCAGTACTGCTGAGTCTCCATCATCTTGACTCATAGAACGGTGACAATTTCTTTTCTCGCAAATAAGTTGGTGGCTATACCGATCGATCGGGAGCACTCGCGGATTGATTATATAATCGATATTAATTTAATTTTTTTTAAAGTGCACACACGCGCACAAAATAGTGCAAAAAAAAAATTTACACACTTTGTTTTAACGCGATGCAACGCACAGTTTTTTTTTTAAATTTTTTTATCTATTTTCAACGTCACTTTTCGAACTTTAAAATCACTCACTGTACAATTACCGCTGAGGCTCCGCTCAATAGTTATTTCTGCAAATGAAAAGCACATGGTAATACTTGATTAAGTTGATGCTTAAGATGAGTTACATTGGTTAAAGCTTTAAGTTTTGAAATCGTTTGACGCCGAAAAAGAGAATGAAGAAAAACATATGTTTTGATAATTTGAGTCTAATTCCATCATTTTTTTGTTAGTTTTTTTATACATCGGCTTCATTATATGCCAAGTATCTAATATTATTATTATTTTTGTTGCATTGATATACCCACGGAGAAAAGTGTGTCCCGGCTCAAATTTTTCGATTCAAACGTCGTGACAGGAGTAGCGTTTAGCTCTCTCGAGAGAAAAGTCAGGTAGTTCACTGCAGCCTTCACAATCGTCGCAAGAACAATCTGTACACATCGCAATTCGCAAGAGTTTTTCCGCGCGAAAAACCGAACTCAACCAGCACCACCAAGGACCAAAAGTCGCGCGCGTTACGGGTCGACACACGGACTTTCTTTCCCTTCGCAGTTCGTCGTCAATGCCCGTGTTATGATTTCGCGCTGTGGACTGTGTGGGGGAGGCAAGAGAAAAAAGAGAGGCAGGCCGCGGCGCGAATTTATATATGCCTATGGAAACTCGCTCGTGCTCCTCCCGAGAGAGAGAGAGAGATAAGTAGTGTAAGTAAACGTTTGTGGGTAATTGTATTATATATATAAAATTGTAAATTGTCGAAGAAGGCGAGGCGCAAAGTTTGCAATCTCAGACGCGACTATAACTCGCGACGCGGCGCATTGACACGTCAGCTCACTTCGATGTTAGTACATTTACACACGCGCGCCGGTGGTAATCAGTGCCGAAGCAGCAGCAGCAGTAACGGCGCAGGCATTAGCGTATCTCGTATCACACGTACACAATAATATACACATGGACATGCGCGCGCAAACATCGGATCGTCGTCTCGATTCTCTTTTTTTTCTCTCTCTCTTTCTCTGCCTTAATTATTATTGTTATTATTTTGCTCTTTTATCGTTGTGTAAACAACGAAGCTAAAAGGAGAGATAACGCAGCGCAGCGCAGTGAAGAGAGAAGAAGAAGAAGAAGAAGAAGAAGAAAAAAAGTCGACGCCAAGACGATGTCAATCAGTCGGTACATACATATATACAGAAATCGGTTACGATATGCGCACAACATTCAAACTTAGCCGCTTCGTCCACGAGCTATACGAAGTTTCAAAAACACATCAACGTACAGAATCGCATACGCGAGCTTTTCAACTTTATTACACCATTTACATCTAGGGTGTGCGTGGCATGCAGTACACAATAAAATTGAATGATAAAAGTACGGAGCACCGGAGCTTTCTAATTGAGAATTTATCGTAATGCGTCGATGCACCGCAATTAACGACTCTCGGTTCGGTCGCAGGAGGACTCGAGACACGCGTCTTTTCGCGCGTATACGCAAGTACGTCCCGTCGAACGAGCTACGACTGAATGCGCGCGCCCCGACTCGCGGGCAGAGCTTTACGATTTATAACGCGGCGAGGCGGTTTTTTTCCCTCCCCAAGCTGATACGTTGCCGGCGTATAAATGCATAAATACAATGTATATAATACAATTATATGATAATGTGCGTTTAAGAAAGCTTATACAATGAGTGTTTGTGTGTCTTGACACGCGAGTGTATGGCTTTGAAACACGCGGGCGCGCGAGAAAACTTCGTGATCTGTTATGAACCACGCAAGCTCGAGTGCTTGTACACATGATGCTCACAGCAGCCCCACCTCCAGAAATACAGAAATAGCATTCCTGTTCGTTTGAACATCAAACCATTGTATACAACCAGTTTTACTCTGCTACTTGCAGATTTACAGATAAAAGGTACTCGCCATCTAGCGGTGGAAGCTGGATTCAATTAAAATTGAATTTTCATAAAATTGTCTTTTATATAAATCTTTTTGGATCATGCCGCAACTTGTACCATTATATTATTTACTTTGCCCCTTCCTTAAATGTACTCGCCATCTACTGCTGAATTTAATTATGATCGAGTTTTTATGGATTTTTCGAGCAACTTTTATTCAAATGTTTAAATTTGAATTTAGAAGTTGATATATTTTGTTTCTTTTTATTAAAAATATTGTGCGTGACTGCATTTTCATGTCTTTTTGTGCAATTCGTGTACAAAAATTAATCAGTCATGACTTATATTGATGCTGCAAATCTGTAATTTGATTTATATATCATTATTTTTACTTTACCACTTGCAGATTTACGGATAAGGGTACACGCCATATAGTGTTCAAGGCTGTGAAACAATTCAAGTGTCAAACTTAAATGTACAATCAAATATTTTTGGATTAGTGTTGCATTAAAAATAATTATTTAGATTACTTTAAAATATATTTTTTGAGCAATTGATGTTAATAATAAATCAGTACTTAATAAGTTATATAAACTTATATACTTTTATTCATATGCAAATATAATTATACCGCTTTATAAAAATATGAAAAAAATTTATATTTATTCACTGATTCATATTATATTAAAATAAAAATATCTAATCATATCATTTTATTAAATTTTCACATTAGTTGTTTTTAACTTGGTTTTAATTCAGTATTTTTTTTTTTACTAAGACTACATGTAAAAATATATTTCATAAAATTTAGCATCGGTTACATTAATTTCAATGTCTGATTTTACATTAAATCTACTTCGCCCCTTTTTTATTACGTATGAATAGTGCAGATACTATCAACAAGCAAATCAATTAGATTGCTTTACGACGAACAAAGTGTACCGTGATTCTTGCCGATATCTCGCATATCCTCGAAAATCGCCATCGGTACGTAAAAACGATCCGTACTTTCGATCCGGCGCATTCGTGAACACTCGACGCTCTCGATGTATAATATACTCGACCGAGCTGCCGCGGTTATATACGTTACAAGCTTAAAAATAAACGCGATAAAACCTTGTAATATTCTGGAAGCAATCGTCGATTAGACTTTGTTCGTGATTTTTATATATACATAACGTGTATACGGATCGAGATGCGCGTGCATACGTGTAAGTGCTGACATGATATCCACACACGCACACACTTACGTCGTGCACGAGCGGCGCAAGGCGAAATATACAGATAAATTGCAATATATTATAAATTATAACTTCTCTCGAAACGAATTACGTTATTACATAGTTATCGGAGATGATGAGTCCTGCACGAGTAGTCGCACGCGCGCGCGCCCGAGAATATTCCACACCGAAGTAAATACGATGATACACATATCGGAAAAAAGCAGCGAGCTTTTAACATTTTTTCTTCGTTTTCTTTTTTTAACGGCGCAAGTATGCGTGTACGGCATCTTCTCCTTGATTCGCATATGCGGGCAATAATACATATCGCCTCGTAACAGTCACGCGATCTTCGGCGACGACGACGCGCGCATTATTAATATCGTCGAGCGATCATTATAATATACAATATGAAGTTATCACTCGGCTAATATATTGACGGAGTCATATATTTATGCATGTATCCGAGGAATTTCGCGATCGTCATCGTAGCGATGTGTCAGGGCGTGAATGATTTTCTCTCGTATGTGTACTTTCATCTTCAGAAAAATTCCAGTGAAAGTAACACGTGACGACAATCGTTGCAGCTCGTTTATATATTACATATATGAGCAATTCTATGAGAAATCTTTAAAATACGAGGCTGAAATCGCGTTGAATTGAAAATTTTAATTCTGTGGGACATCGAATAACTAGAGAAAAAGCCCTCTGAAGCTCAAAAAAATAACATCCCAATATGAACATTAGACTATTAATTTGAAAACACAATTATTTTTGACTCGATGACTTCATGGAAAAATGTTATACAATTAGAATGTTTCAAATTTTTCAAAAAATAAGTGTACATTTTTTCATACGAATTCGAAGGGCACAGAGAGCCGTGCCTATTCTGTTGTTTACGTCGCCCGTCGAATACATGACTTGCGTCACTTTTCATGGTGTTTTGCCGTGCAGGGGACTGTACTGTAAACCGATGATTCGCTACGCTGCACACAGGGCTGAGCTGAGTCGTCGAGCGGAGCTGGTCGCTCATAACCTAGAGTTCTTCGCTTCATTCTCTTCAATAGCCTTTTTGTGTATACTTTGTGTAATAGGTAAAATTAGCACAGGAAGATTACTTGTTGCGCAGTTCCAAGTGAGAAAGATGGAACCCAGTTATAAGTTTAATTTAGCTGTCAGGTAATTTTCATTGTATGAGAACGTAAAAATATCATTAAACAATAATGTACTTGGTCTGATTTCAGAGTGAACGAGGAGCCCAGTGAAGTGCCACTAAGTGAAAATAATCATGAAAAGATTGATGAAAACCCCCATCCGAAAAACGTTCAATTCCAACCACTTCCGTCAGAAAATTCAGTAAGCGTTGATATTTATAACAAACTCGTATTTTAGTTCTTTTTTTCATGAAAATTCTTACATACCTTTGATTTCTCAACAGGCCTATACGCTACGAATTTCGAACTGTAAAATTGAATTTGACGAGGAAGTGGAAATAGTTGTGGAATGTGAAGATGTCAAGCCCAACAAGGACTTATTAGCAATAAAGAAAATTCATGATTATTTTGCAAATCACTCAAAAAGCTTAAATGATAGTGATGGTTATAAAAATCACGGTACAATTAAAATAGAAACGTCAGCGAAAGTGAAACAGGAATTTTTTAGTGACGCTACTGAAGAATCAAATTTGAATTTCGACAAGGAACTCAACGAACAAAATAGAAAAAGAAAAATTAAAAAAAAGTTTAACAACGAACATAACCTTGAAACACATATCGGTACTTCGCATAATTATAAAACCAACGCATGTGAAATACGAGGAAAGAAATCGTCAAGTAAGAGTAATCTCAAAATGCATATCGATACGGTGCACAATGGTACCAAACATACTTGCAATACATGTGGAAAGGCATTCATACAAAAAAGTAATCTCAAAAAACACATCGATTCTGTGCACAATGGTGTTAAACATGAATGTGATATATGCGAGAAGACATTCACGCGACAGGATAATCTCAAAAACCACATTGATGTGGTGCACAATGGTTTCATCCACGCATGTGAAATATGTGGAAAGAAACTGTCAAATAAGAGTAATCTCAAAAAACACATCGATGCAATTCATAATGGTGTCAAATATACATGTGATATATGCCGCAAGACATTCACAGATAATGGTTATGTTTGAGCAATCAATCACATGTACAGGCAAGAAGGAGAGAGAGAAAGCGAGTCGATTTCTCGCGTTGCTAAGGGGGATAATTTTGTTTACGCCGGCCGGCTCGCGATCTTCTCACTTCTGTTCTCGTCTCTGAACATCTCGCTTCGCTTTCTCTCTCTCTCTCGATTTTTTTCTTGCTTTCAGTAAAAAGCTCAGAGCTTTTTTTCCTTCTTCACATCTCTATTCACAATAAACTGGGTTTTTTATGCCTTTATGGCTTTTTCCCATAATTAATCGTTTTTATTTATTTATTATTGATAATATCATAGTATAATAAAAATCGTTAACCTCGGAACTTCGGCACGAAGCCGAAGTTTTCGACTAAACAGGTTATCTCAAAATCCACATCGATGCCGTGCATAAGGGTAACACATATGCATGCGATATATGTCAAAAGACGTTCACTTATAAAATTAGTCTCAAATTCCACATCAATTCGGTGCATAATAAAATCATTCATGCATGTGATATATGC